TATAAAAGGTGAAAAATAGTTTACTCTAGTATGTAAATATTTGTAGTAGCGTTTATTTCGTCTGTAGTTCTTTGACATTTGACGTATAGTCAACATAATCCAAGACATATGTCTAAAATCTATTGTAGTAGCGTTTATTTATTTTGCAGTTCCTTGAAATTAAACTCACAGTTAATATAATCCGAGATAGGTGTTTAATACCGTTTGTAGTAGCGTTTATTTCGTTTGTAGTTCCCTGAAATTAGACTCACAGTTAATATAAACCAAAATAGGTGTTTAATATCGTTTATAGTAGCGTTTATTGCGTTTGTAGTTTCTTGAAATTAGACTCATTTAATATAATCCACGACATGCGTTTAATATCGTTTGTAGTAGCGTTTATTTTGATTGTAGTAGCGTTTATTTCGTTTGTAGTTCCCTGAAATTAGACTCAGTTAATATAATCCAAGATAGGTGTTTCATATCGTTTATGTAGCGTTTATTTCGATTGTAGTAGCGTTTATTTCGTTTGTAGTAGCGTTTATATCGTTTGCAGTTCCTTGAAATTAGACTCACAGTAAATATAATCCAAGAAAGGTGTTTAATATCGATTGTAGTAGCGTTTATTTCGGTTGTAGTAGCGTATATTTCGTTTGTAGTAGCGTTTATTTCCTTTGTAGTAGCGTTTATTTCGTTTGTAGTAGCGTTTACTTCGTTTGCAGTTCCTTGAATTTAGACTCACAGTTAATATAATCCAAAATAGGTGTTTAATATCGTTTATAGTAGCGTTTATTGCGTTTGTAGTTTCCTGAAATTAGACTTATTTAATATAATCCAAGACAGGCGTTTAATATCGTTTGTAGTAGCGTTTATTTTGATTGTAGTAGCGTTTATTTCGTTTGTAGTTCCCTGAAATTAGACTCAGTTAATATAATCCAAGATAGGTGTTTCATATGGTTTATGTGGCGTTTATTTCGGTTGTAGTAGCGTTTATTTCGTTTGTAGTAGCGTTTATATCGTTTGCAGTTCCTTGAAATTAGACTCACAGTAAATATAATCCAAGAAAGGTGTTTAATATCGTTTGTAGTAGCGTTTATTTCGTTTGTAGTAGCGTTTATTTCCTTTGTANAGGTGTTTAATATAGTTTGTACTGGCGTTTATTTCGTTTGTAGTTCCTTGAAATTAGACTCACAGTAAATATAATCCAAGATAAATGTTTAATATCGTTTGTAGTAGCGTTTATTTCGGATGCAGTAGCGTTTATTTCGTTTGTGGTAGCGTTTATTTCGTTTGTTGTTCCTTGAAATTCGATGCATAGTCAATATAACCCAAGACAGATGTCTGAAACCGTATATTATTTTTTATCAAGGTATATGTCGATGCCGAAGCCACAGGCGGACCTGACACTGCCCAAGCACCTCTACAAAAGCCGCAGCGGCCCTATCGCCGACGACGAGTATCCCCCCCACTTAAAGCTGAGCAAAGAATGCCTAGACAGGAAGAACATCTTCGCGGAGTTCAAGAGGGCGACGCCGCCGAGACAGATGATGGCAAAGATGTTGGAGATGAGACAGAACCAGAGGCCTACGCTGGAGAGGAAGGATTCAGCGCAAAAAGACCAGGACAAGGCGGAGGAGAAGAAAGTAAAGTGTTGAATTTTTTTTTGGAGTAACACCGGTCAATAAATACCTATTTTGGCGGTAATGGTTTGGGTTTTATTTGATTTTTTTAAAGAAAAATCGAGTTAAAAAGCTGGTAGAATGACTATTTACAGCAATGCTTTGTGTCCCAATTTATTTGCATCTTTAAAAAGTTACGAGTCTTCAACAAAAAAAAATGTATTTCATTTTTTTAATTACGAATTTGATTCATTCTGTAGAGTAACATAAGATACGCCCCTTTTGAAGAAAGCAGTTCGCATAAACGCAATTCCAATTCCTTTTGTTTTTTGAAAGTGTTAAATTTTTTTTTTTTAGTTTTAAAATCTCTATTCACTTTATTTCTCAGTTTAGATAAAAATTCAGCTAAGCAGAAAATAGTTGTGTCATCTGCGAAACTAAAAATATGTCCATGACTATTTCCAGATCGGAAATCGCTGATGGACAACGCAAACAACACAGGGCCTAGGACTGTACCGTGAGGTACGCCATATTCGATTTCCTACAATTCTCTTTTGTAGATCTAGGTACACCAGTTCCATCTCAGAGTGAACTATAATTCGATTTTTCCGCAAAAGGCACCGTCCACAAGCGTCGCGGGTAGCCAACCCCCTTAGCCACGTCATAGGGACGCCTATGCTGGCAAATTCCTCCAATCCAAGCGACTATTGACCCGGACTATCGCGTCCTAACATTTCACAGACTCGTACACATACACTTGCGTGTCCATGTTATTTTTGCACAATGATAGATGCATCAGTGCTATTTCCTCTCCGACTTTTTTTTTTGAAACCTAATTGTTCGGAATACCTATAATTATGTGCGGTCGCAGTGATTTCGCGGTTTTTTGCTTATTGTCTTTCTCCGAACAATGCCTCGTCGGCATAGAACTTGCTTTTCCCACAAAAATATAGTTGATAATCGTAGAATATAATTAATCGTTGTGTTATTAGCTTTGTTCGGACTTGCCTTGGCGGGAAACGGTTCTTTCTCTCTCCGATACTTTCATTTGGTTCGGAGAACGGATATCTCCCTTCTAATTAAAGGATTTTACTACTTAATAGCTTCTAGATGTTATAACATGGCCGTTTCGGAAGTGGATGGATACAAGGTGTCTCAATATTGCGTTCCGTTTTTCCAATTAATCCTTAAGTTGACAATTGACATCTACATGGAAGTATATGTTTGTGCTGACGCCACTGAAGACATCCAACTATCAAGGAAATAAACAAAAACACACACGACCTTTAAAAGCGAAGGGAGTATTTGTGTTAAATTGTTTTGTAACTACGGCAACGTCGCATTTTTACCAAAATGCGTGCTTTTCAATTGAAATGCACAGTTTCTTTTAATAACTTTTAACATCCGACACGCTTGTCGCCTTGAATAGACTTCCGTAAAACATAACAGATCATTTTTAAACACGAAGGGGTGATTTTAATACAACAGCCCTATCGCGTTTCACATCACCCCATGCCGACTCGATTCAAAAGTAGGTTAAGTGTTTGAATCAATGAAAACTTCCGTACTACTTCCCGTATCGATTATACAAACATAGACAGGCATATCAGCGTCTATACTCGGAGGAAAATGCAAGCCGTTGTACTATGTTTATAAGCATCGCGTTGTTTCTACATTTTAAGGTTATATTTAGCGATTCCCTTTGATGCGCCAACCCTTACAATGTATCAAAAAGAGATAATTTTAATATAAAGGTAAAATTCTAAACAAAATACAGTGCTTCTACCATCTTTCCTCATTCAGATACTTCTGCAGACCAATCGGTACTACACGTTTTAATTTAATCCAAAATAAACGAAACTGCAAAAACATTAAACCGAGAACAGTTTAAAGGACCCCGCACAAATCTTATGGAAATTGGGTCCCATAATCCAAAATAGGTGTTTAATATCGTTTGTAGTAGCGTTTATTTCGTTTGTAGTTCCTTGAAATTAGACTCACAGTTAATATAATCCAAAATAGGTGTTTAATATCGTTTGTAGTAGCGTTTATTTCGTTTGTAGTTCCTTGAAATTAGACTCACAGTTAATATAATCCAAGATAGGTCTTTAATATCGTTTGTAGTAGTGTTTATTTCGTTTGTAGAAGCTTTTATTTCGTTTGTAGTTCCTTGATATTTGACGCATAGTCAATATAACCCAAGACAGATGTCTGAAA